TGAACATCCCTCTGGGATTTGAAGGGGACACGGGTAGCAAGGTGTGCAAGCTGAAAAAGACCATTTATGGGTTAAAACAATCTCCTAGAGCATGGTTTGGCAGATTTGCAAAAGTCATGAAGAAATCTGGGTATAAACAAAGCCAAGGTGACCACACTCTTTTCATTAAACATTCAGCTGTATGGAGAGTGACTGCTCTTTTAGTCTATGTAGACGACATCATAGTGACTGGAAATGATGAGAAAGAGAAGCATGAATTAAAACTGAGACTAGTAAAAGAATTTGAAACAAAGGAATTGAGGAAATTTAAATACTTCCTTCGTCTTATTCCACACAATGGATCTTTTTATTTCAGCAGAAGTACGTGATTGATTTATTGGCAGAAACAGGAAAGATTGGGTGTAAGTCTATCTCTATTCCAATAGATCTAAACTATAAGTTGGGAGAAGCTAAAGAAGAACCAATTGTGAATAAAAGAATGTAGCAGAGATTGGTTGGCAGACTCATATACCGTGCTCACACTCGACCAGACATAGCATATTCTGTAAGTATGATCAGTCAATTCATGCATGATCCAAGAGAACCTCATCTTCAGGCTGCCTACAGGGTACTGCATTACTTGAAAGGCAATCCGGGGAAAGGAATCTTGCTCAAAGGAAAGGAATGACACTCTTACTCTGGAAGTCTACACCGACGCTGACTATGCTGGCGCCCTAGTGGATAGAAGATCAACTACAGAATATTGTACTTTTCTTGGAGGTAACCTAGCGACATGGAGGAGCAAGAAGCAGAATGTAGTGGCAAGGTCATCTGCGGAATCAGAGTTCAGTGTTATTGCTCAAGGATTATGTCAATTACTTTGACTAAGAATCATTTTGGATGATTTGAGAGTCCAAAGGGAGGGTCCTATGAAGCTCTACTGTGACAACAAGTCAGCTATTAATATAGCTCACAATCCTATACAACATGATAGGACAAAGCATCTTAAAATTGATAGACATTTTATCAAAGAAAAACTAGAGGAAGGGTTAGTGTGTATGCCCTATGTTCCATCAGAGAGACAATTAACCGATGTTCTAACAAAGGGGCTGAACAGTTCGAGTTTCCATGATCTTGTATCCAAGCTGGGAATGAAAGACATCTATTCCTCAGCTTGAGGAGGAGTGTCGAGGTGTTTTTGAGATGGAAATAAGGTTGGGAGAATTAATTTGTAATCCCTTAAATTAAGGGAATTAGAATTAATTTGAAATCACTTAAATAGAAGGAATTAGAATTAATTTGCAATACTTCAAATTGAAGGAATTAGTTAAATAGTTTCCAGATTTAGGAATGAGTCAGTTTCCTATTTTTTCTTCTTGTAATCTCCTATATAATACCATGTATTATCAATTCAAAAATAGAAAGAAATACAAAATTATTTTCTATCCTTTCTGATTTACCACATTAAGTACTCCTGTCAAATTAACCATTCAATCTTTTCTTTAGGCATATTACATGCTCGGTTGTGTGACCGTGAATCCGAAGGAATTGACAATATTATTCTTAATTCCCTAAATTCAACTTCAAGAGGGGGCCAATAAATGAGCTCTTAATCTCTAATGTTCATCAAAATTTTGACATGTGATGAGTTGAGCATCATATATTCCTTCTTTGGTCGAGGCTCACGTCGCTGGTGTGGAGGCCAAGAAGGGAGATCAGAGTTCTCTTACTAATCAAATTTCTTTTGTTATCAGGCTAGATCAGCATCAGTGGGGTTACTCTTATGCATACCCCAAAATCACTCAAATTGTTCCTTGTGCGCATTGATAGTCTTATCTACAATAATTTGAGTTTCCAAATGATGAGTCTCTCTCATTAACGATTAGTAGAAATGTCCCAAGTGAAGCCCTCCAAAAAAAACTCCCCTCAATAATTTATGATTCACCCTTGAAATCTGACGGGTTTTAGTAGAAAATCTTCAGAACTATTCATTAAGTGATTCTCCCTCATTCTGACGATTTCTTGAAAGATAAGATGAGTCTTTGACAATCCTTTAATTTGCTATGAAGAGCTCCACAAAGAGTATGGGAAGTTTATTGAAAGTATGGAAAGTCCTTTGATTTGCTACGTGTGAGTTTGGCGTTTGAGAGTGGTGGAAAACACTTGATAGAGAAGCACATTAGGAACCCATTGGATGTGCACGAAAGTTCAGTAATGATCAATATGTTTGTAAAAGTCATATATCCCGTCATAGGAGTCAATATTCAAATACTTGAAACCAGTTAGGATAGGGTGTTAAAGTACTGACAAGGGCAAGGGAGAAGACTTTTGAAAATTACAAGTAGGGAAATGATCTTTATCCCTTAGATGGAACTCTTGGCAGACCAAGCGTCGCAACTAAGCACAGATTACATCATTGGGAACGTCAATAAGAAGTGGCTAAGCCAAGTTTCTTGTGAGCATTGGAGAGTTAGTAATCGGTTCAGCTACACGAGATGGATGAGTAGAACTCGCAGTATCGAAGAGATCGGCCTATCTGAGAAGGAATCCCATCATAATGGGGAGGAGGCCCAATACAAGTATTCTCAAGCAAAGGATTCTTTGCAGTTTGTTGACCTTGTGGCAAGTAGACTATGTCTGGTTGTGCGGGCATCAACTATCAGCCCTCATTTAAAAGCTGAAGAATTTCATGTTTTATTCTGTGCACTTGGTCTTCCAAGGATGGGCCTGAGGCACCTTCGCCAGTAGAAAAATGACTTTAGAAAAAAGTAGATACTTAACATCCCTGGCTCAGTGATTGCCCCTGGAGTGGTAAGTGTTGAAATGGGATGCTTTGTTATTACGAGTATTGTGTGTGTTGGTAATTTCACAAGTTTTATAAGTTTTTTTTATGGTGGGTTATCTTTCCCACAAATGACGTCAAATTGTTACGTGTTGATAAATTTGCAATGATAGAGTTATATATAATGTCTTACTGTTATACAAATATCAAACATATAAGAGTTTTTACTTGAAAACCCCAAAAGGGAAATGCCATAAGGGGGTTTGAACAAGTTGAATAATTCCCTTATGTCGACGCATGTTATAAGATTTTACTAACCCTTGAATAACTTGAAGCAATGTTACACAAGTTGACGAGAATTTTGCTATAAAAGAACCATAAAATGCTAGGGAAGTGGCGGTGAAGATGACTATGAAGGAAAACCACAGTAGTGGTCGCGTGTTAGAAAATATGCTATCATAATCTTCAGTTGTAGCGACCATATGGCGGTGCTTGGAAGCGAAGATACTGGTCTGGTGGTGGCGAACTCAACGACGGTGGCCAAGCAACAGTGATTTCTGGCGGTGGCTGCAGCTCGATAGTGGTGGCCGAGCAATGGTGGTCGGACTGCGGTGGTCGCAGGTCAGTGGTGCTATGGAAGCGACGATAGTGGTTTGACAATGTTGGCGGCAATAGGGCAGTGGCAATCCGGCTATGGCGGCGACCAATCGACGATGGCCGACAAGCGACAATGATCGTTCGGTAATGGCGACGGCTTGACAACGGCAACCTGTGACTGGTGGCCGAGAAGTGGCAATTGGTCATCCGGCTGTAGCTGCGACAATCATTCAGTGATGGTGGAGCTTAGGAAGCTTCAAGAGCTTGGAGCTCCTTTAGCTTCCTCCTTCATATCCAAGTCCCCCTTCATGAAAGCAGTAGGGGTTTAAATATTGATTTTGTGAGTGATAACCTTGTTAAGTGTCACATGAATCTGGACCACTCAATCAACAACTCAGAACGATTCCTTTGATTAGATAATATTTTATGAGGATTTGGGTGTCTTAAAGTGTTAGAATTGAGTGATCATGAGCTCATTGGATTCAGCTTAACAAGACACTCAATTTAACTATAAACTTCTCAGATTTATAATATGTTTGACCATTTAATTGCCTTGACCATTTAATTGCCTATCCAAAGCCTCCAATTGAGCTTAAAAGGGTTGATATGACTTGAATCGAACCAATTTTGGCTTCATTGACTTGCCTTGTTGAGACCACTAGTTTGACTATAAACTTAATATAATCGAAGCCTTAGAGATCTTAAATTTGAATTTGGAATGTTTATTGTTCGAAATGTTATGAGATTCGTGTATCATTAAAATATTTTTTTTAGGACGTAGGGCCCATTTGGCGTAGCTTATTTGGTGCGGTGGCATTTTGAAAACGTACCTGGTCTGTTTGGGTAAACTGCGTTTTGGCAGCTTATGCGCTTTCACACCGCACTTATCTAGGTGCAATGACAGCTTTTTGGTTACGGTTTGGCTTTTCTAAAAAAATAAAAATTTGTAATAGGCACCGCACCTAACTTATTAGCAGATTATTCAATAAGCTACAGCTGCCCCAAACAGACCCTTAATTAGTAATTACTGATTATTTATTGAATGTGTACTAATTGATTTGATAAAAATATTACCTTGTTTAAATATTTCATTATATAATTAAATTGCTTAAACTTTAAAAACATTTGATATTCTAAGGTGTCAAGCTGCTAAATAATTTTTCAAATTATGATGCAATCAAGGAGGGTGTGACTCATTCTCTTCCCACTCTTGAATGCATAGTTTCTCCGCTATTTTCAAAACATCAAAACACGAATGACTTGGTTGAATGATATTACATTCAATCTCTAAAAGAGAAAACAAACTTATAAGAAAATCTTTTTAGAGTGCTATACTAATCTTAAGACTACTTTGAGCAAAAAATACGTTATTTAAAAAGCAAGAATGATTTTTTTAAGCTTAAGATAGCAAGAGATTATTTTAAACAAGGCTATGACATCGAAGCAGCAGCTTAAATCAAAACCGAATAAAAATTGTGGTGGCTTGAAAACAATAAGCTTTTTCAACACTTATTGTTACTGCCACGTGTCAGGGCCTCAACAAAACAAGAATATTTCCAAGACCTTTTGTCCCAGATGTGCTAAAATACATTTCACCAAAAAGAAAACAATAATAGTTAGTAATTGAAGGAGAGAAAAATACCAAGTCTGGGGACCGTGTGTCCCCTTGGATGGCGAAGTACAACGGGGTCTACAAATTCGTCCAAAAGAGCTTCACCGTGTTCCTTCAAGAAGTCCAATTCTCCTGCCGTCAAAATATTTGGCATAAAATTAAATCAATAGGATTAAACATCAAAAGTAATGCTTTTTTTAAGGAAAATTTTAAACTTGACATATGCTTAAATTTGCATCCCCTGTTTCTTTTGTAATTTTTAAATTTAGCACGTTTGTATTAAACAAAATTTTCGGCAAAATACCAATGAGGTGGAGGGAAGAGCACTTTATCTTGGCACCAAACGCCTTCTCCGCCACAACGGGTGATGGAAGCTTTGCCCCGCCAATTATCACCACGTTCTTCACCTGGGGCACGCGCTTCAATGCGAAACCCTAAAAATTTAAAACAGGCAAAAAGAACAGACCATGTTCTCATCAAACTCAAATCCGAAAAGCTGTTGAAATTCGAATCACACGAAATTGAGAGCAGCTTTCTTCACCTTCGCCTGGAGACCTGGCAGCGCAGCGGAGAGAGCCGCCCCCTGCGCTATTCGGCAGACAAAGTCAACCCCAAATACAAAACATTACAAATTTAGGAAAAAAAATATATAGAACGAAAGCATAAAATTCACCTGGGAAAATCCCATCAACCCATCAAACGGACCATGCTTAATCATCAGATCCTCGATGTAGGCAAGACACTCATCAAAGTTTATGTACTCCGTGAATCCCTAATTTTGATTTACAGAAGTGGGAAATATGAGAGAGTAATTCACCGGATAACGAAATCGAACCCGAAATCGAAGATGGTGGAAACAGGCACCTTATTGAATTGGAACCATTCGTAGTAAGGAGGATCGAATAAGCCTTCGACTTCAGATTTTCCCCCGGCGAAGAACGGTGCGTCGGCGAAGAAGAGATCGAGGCGGTCGGTGACACTCTTAGGCCATTTCCCCATAACCTGAGACCGCATGATCTCGCCGCTGGTGCGAAAACCGTGAAGGCAGAGGAAACGAGGCCTCCGGCGAGAATACTCGGAAGCGCCGGATGGCTGGTCTTATAGGGGGGGGGGGAAATGTTATTGTAGAGTAGATGAGATCTGGAGGATCGCAAGCAGTTTATGTGCGAGGAATCAGGAATGTGGAAACGGTTTGGAACTCTCTTACGAAAAGATACTGCTTCGCATCAGCTGCTGCCCAGTTTTTGGGAAGTATCTCTTCTTTTTGAATTTAAATAAACAAGAGGCTTTGAAGTACATCTCTCTCACCTAACCTTCCACTTTTACATACGTCCCGGCTTGCGTTACACATGTATGGACAGATGTATTTCACTTTTTTCTTTTTTAATTAAGATGATAATATTTTTTTATGTGATATAAAAGATTTGTATGAAATGAAAAAAATATATTAGGATTGATGTATAAATACTTAGGAATTAGGTGGTATGTCCGTAAATCATCTTTATATATTTTTAATACTCAAAATTTTAATGTTACAAATGAAAATCAAAACATTAACTTTTAAAATGAAATACACATTTTTATACTTAAATTTATAACAATGAAGTTTTATATGTGTAAATATTGAACTTTAGAATTGGGTGTGATCTGAGTTAGAAAATTCACAGTGGTAGAGTAATGAATTTTCGTCTTAGCGTTGCACGAGAATTCAACACATACTCAGGTAAACGAAACCTACCTATAATGACACTAGAAGATTTTAGGTAGAAACCCCGTAAAGGAAAAAAACCACAGGATCCGTTTGGTTGTATTTAAGTTGATGATTACAATGACTCTTTGTCCTACGGACGAAAATGGTTTACTAGGTTTTTCAAGATACAACATCCACTGGTGGCTTCCAGTCAATAGTGGTCGACGACAATTGATGGTGATCAATGACGACAGTAGTGTTTGACAGCGATCCGCGGTGGCCAACAACAGTCAACGGTGGTCGACGACGATCGACGGCTATTGGTGATAACATGGATGGTGCTAAAGTTCAACTCCTTCTCAAAGCTTTAATTTTTTTTTCTCAGCACCAGACTACCCTCTCATAAGAGGGGTGATACTATATTTATAGTGTTATGAGTGAAAATAATGCAAAAATATGAATCACTTTGATAAGACAGTCCGAAGAGCTTCTCTCTATCGGATGGTGTTGGATGGACTTTCAGTGTTTTAGCGATGTCAAAATTGAGCAATCTTGGGCTCGTTGGATTCGTCATGTCGAGACGCTAGATTCGATTATAGACTTGCTAAATTCTACATTCGTTTAGTCTCTTAAATATGTCCGAAAAACTTTCAAGAGTGGTTTAATGACTTGATCAGAGCTTGATTTAACATGGATTGGACTAATTCGTAGCATTGGCTTTTTCTTGTTGAGTCGGTCAATTTAACTGTAAGTTTATTGAAATAGGAGTTCTGAATGAGTTTTTATCGAGGTTTAAAAATTTCTTGCTCAAAAGATTGCCTCAAGATTCGTGTCGGATGATGGAATTTATTGATGGGGTGGTATGTATGTAAATGTCCCCATTATTAATTCTCATGTGACAACGAAGATATATGTTAAACCTATTTGATTTTAAAATTTCGTTTTCCCAGTATAAAAATAATATATATATATATATATATATATATAGAAAGAAGAAGCGGTACAAGAAATGACACATGCCCAAAGGTTCACTGGACTCGTAATAATTTGTCTTAGCGATAGATTAAGATCTTGTACCCAAAGAGATAAAAAATAAGTAAAAAGAAGAAGACACTTCAATTTTTTTTTTTATATAGAAAATCCTATAAAGAGAAAAAATCATGAGGTCTAGCCAAGTTGAAATAATTCATTGTATAATTATAAGTACATAGGTGTGCTCTCATCTTGAAGTAGAAAAGATGGAGTTACAATATTAGTGTATAACCGTAGATGCATAGTTTAACAATAATAGTTGTAGTGAGACAAAAATAACATAATTGATTGTATGAAAGCATTAGCCCACCATAAAAGTTGCAGATTGTGGTTGTAGCATCAGCTGGTTATAGATGTTATAGTTAGAAGCCGTGGAAGTGGTTGGTCATGTAGGCCATAAATGATTGCTTCAAGAGTATCAGTTGGCCACAGATGTCAAAATATAGAGCTGCAGAAGTTGTGAACCATATAGGTCGTAGTTGGTTGCATATGACGTAGTGGCGGCCCGCAATAACATCTATTTGTCATAGATGTTGGAGTTGAGAGCTGCATAGGTTATGGACCTCGTAGCTTGTAGTTGGTCATGTACGTCGTTGTGGTAAGTCATAATAACGATCATATGCCATAAAGAATGAAGTTGGGAGCTGCATGAGCTGTGGACCGCATAAGCCATAGTTGGTCATGGTCGTAGTAGAGAGCCATAATAGTGTTTATAGACCATAAAGGTCAGAGTTTGGAGTTTCATGAGCCGTGTATCACGTGGACAGTAGTGGTGAGCCGCAAATGTCTATATGTCATTGAGGTCGGAGTTTGGAGTTGTATGAGATGTGGACCAAGTAGGTTGTTATGGAGAGTTTTAGTAGCGTCCATAGACCACGAATGCCAAAATTGAGAGTTGCATGTGTTGTGAGTTGCATATGTCATAGTTGGTTATATAGGTCATGACAGAGATCTTTAATAACGTCCGTCGGCTGCTTAGGCTTAAGTTGGGAGTTGCATGAGCTATGAACCACGTAGGTCATAGTTGTTCACGTACGTTGTAGTTGGTCACGTACGTTGTAGTGGAGAGCTGGAGTAGCTTCTATAGAATAAAGAGGTCAGAGTTGACAGCTGCAAGTTGTGGACCACGTAGGTCGTAGTTGATCATGTAGGTCATAGTGAAGAGCTTTAGTAGTGTCTGTAGGCCACAAAAGCTACAGTTTAGAGTTGTATGAGTTATGGACCACAAAGGCTAGAGTTTAGAGTTGTATGAGTTGTGGACCACATAAGCCACAGTTGTTCACATATTCCGCAATGGTGAGCTGCAATTACATATGTGGGTCATAAAAATCGGAGTTGGAACTTGCATGTGTTGTGAGACATGTTGGCCATAGTTGGTCATATAGGCTGTAGTGGAGAGTCGTAGTAACATCTATAGGTCATAGAGTTTAAAGTTAGGAGTTGCATGAGTTGTGAGTTACGTAGTCTGTAATTGATCACATAAGCCATGAACGATGAGAAGTAATAACATATATAGGTTGCATAGCTCAAAGTTGAGATTGACATGAGTTGTGAACCATGCGAGTCGTAGTTGGTCCATAGTGGAAAGTCGTGGTAGCATTTGTAGGCCATAGAGGCTAAAGTTGGAGTTGCATGAGTTGTGAGCAACATAGGTCATAGTTGGTCACATAAGACGTGACAAAGAGCTGGAATAACATCAGTAAGCTACAGAGGCCAAAGTTGAAAGATGCATGATGAGATAATTTCAGTAATTTATAAATGGGCACCGTATTCTAAGTACAACGATTGTAATAAATTATTACAGGTAGTTACACCGTATCCGAGATTCATTGTTTCACTATCTTTTAGGTGCATTGCTTCATAGGTTGCTTTACTTCACAAGGCTAGTTTTTACTTCGCATGTCGCTTCGTCACTTCACAACATACACCATGACTTCTTCAGGGGCTTCATTTCAAAGAGCAGGGGGAAACCTATGGTGGTCGACAATGGTTGATTAGTCATGCTCAATTGTCAACCATCGCTGACTAGACGTCGTCAGTCGAGGTTGTAACTTGGAAAGCTAGTAACCCTTTCCCGCCTGTGGGACAAGGGACATCTGTAATCATCAACTTATAGTGAGTTTTTACAACTGGGCCAGACCCCGTGATTTTTCCCTTTTACGGGTTTTCCATGTAAAAACTTATGATGTTATCACAGCTTGATTCATTTTCATCTGAGTGTGTGTTGAATTCTCGCGCAACGCTATGACAATAATCCATTACTCTACCGCCGTGGATTTTCTAGTACGCATCAGGTGTCATTGTGTCAGTCTTGTCAAGTCGACCAGGTTGACTGTAAGTTTGTTGAAATTAGAGTTATGAATGATTTTTAATTTGAGTTTGAAGGTTTTTTTCTCAATGAATGCTCCGTGATTCAAGTAAATCGCCTTGAGAGCTGTGCCAAATGATAAAATTTATTGATAACGTATAAATAAATAATTTTTTTCTTCTTATCCTCATTTTTTCCCCAATTAAATATATTTATAACCCCATAAGTCATTATAAGTTCAAAAATATTACAAAATAACCTGAGAAGCGATAAATGAATTAAATATAAATTATTTAAATGAAATATGGCTAATTAATGATAGAAATTGCTAAACCAAATAAGAAGTATTATGTTCTTGTTGATATGGATAAGATGAGCATTTTTTGTGTCCGTGTCAACTCCTCTCCCTTCGAAAAACACATCCTCGAGGTCGAAGTTGAATCTGGTATGAGATTGGGAAGCCCTCCCATTATACCAGTATTTATTGTTCATAGGCCGAGTCCTTTAAGGAGCTTGCGAGAATGGAGGATGCCCAGAGTTGAGCGAGTGGATGATTATCAATGTTTGTTGGCGCTAATATAGCAGGATGAAAGTGGATATTGTGATATGGAAGACTAGATGAATAAGGTATTGTGATGGGAGCTATAGGTTATGAGCAACATTCCTGATGCCTTTCAAAATTTATATGAAACAGAAAAATGACAAAAAAAAAAAAAACTTTAGAGTATGAATATTTGTATATTGAGGTTTGATGATAAGGTTGTAGTTTAACTAAAAGTTTGAATTGAAAGTTCAAAGATATGTCTGTTTGTTGCTTCATACAATTTTGTGTTGATACAAGATTTTGCTTGGCTTGTCAAAGGATTGAAAAATTTAGTTAAAAGATTATCAATGGCATCCATTCATGAGAACATTGGAATATAAAAAGAACTATATGGATGTAATATATCATAGACAAGTTGAAATGAGGTAAAACCAATGGAAGTTTGATAATTGGTGTTATACGATAATTCTGCCCATCGTAGAAATTGTAACCAAGTAGAAACACGTTCATTATATAACAACAA